GATTGTTTCCTCTCTTTTGTTTTTTATGAATAGTACTGCCATGAACATCCATCTACAAGTTTATCTGTGGACATATTTTTGCATTTTTCTTGAGTAGATACGTGAGAGTGTACGTACTAAAACTTAGTCCATTTTGTGTTGCTATAAAGGAATACCTGAGGCTGGGTAATTTACAAAGAAAAGAGGTTTATTCAGCTCATAGTTCTGCTTGGTTTCTGGTGAGGGCTTTTATGTTACATCTAAATATGGCAGAGAAGGTCCGAGGGGAAGTGGGCACATACTAACGGGAGCCAAACCCAAGGGGTGTCCTGGCCTTATAACAGCCTATTGTTGGGGGCACTAATTCATTCCCCCCAGAACCAATCCAGTCTCATGGGAGCAAGAACTCACTACTGTGAGAACAGCACCAAGCCATTCATGAGGGTTCCACCTCCATGACCCAAACCCTTCCCGGTAGGCTGCGTGTCCCCACACCACCACGGTAGGGATTAAATTTCAGCATGAGATTTGGTGTGGACAAACAAACCATATCGAACCCAAAGCAGGCGGAATAGCTGCATCATGTGATAACTCCATATTTTCCTTTTTGAGAATCCTCAGACTGGTTTCCAAAGTAGCTACACTGTTTTACATTTGCACCAGCAGTGAATAAAGATTCCAGTTTTTTCATATCCTTGCCAATACTTGCTACTGTTTTTGTTTTTAAATATTGAACATACTAGTGAGTGTAAAGTGATGTCTCACTATGGTTTTGATCAGTATTTCCCTAATACCTAATGATGTTGATTATTTCATGTGCTCATTGGACATTTGTATGTCTTCCCAAGTAGCTTCCCAAGTAGCCGGGACCGCAGCACATACCAGCACGCCCAGCTTTTTTTTTTTTTTTTTTGTATTTTTTGCAGAGATGGGGTCTCGCTATGTTGCCCAGGGTGGTCTCAAACTCCTGACCTCAAGCAGTCCACCTGCCTCAGCCTCCCAAAGTGTTGGGATTACAGGTATGAGCTACCATGTCTGGCCTTTTTCTTGCTGTTTTTTAATGGCCTCTTTCATTAGTCTTTTCAAATGACAGACTTGGTTTTCTTCATTTTCTCAACTGGTTTCTTGTTTTTAGTTTCCATAATTTCTGCTGCAATTTTTTATTTTTCTCCCCGAGTCAGAGTCTTGCTCTGTCAGCCAGGCTGGAGTGCAGTGCTAGGATCTCGGCTCACTGCAACCTCTGCCTCCTGGGTTCAAGTGGTTCTCCTGTCTCAGCCTCCTGAGTAGCTGGGACTACAGGCGCCCACCACCACGCCCGGCTAATTTTTATGTTTTTTGTAGAAACGGGGTATCATCTTGTTGATCAGGCTGGTCTCGAATGCCTGACCTCAGGTGATCCACCTGCCTCGGCCTCCCAGAGTGCTGGGATTATAGGCGTGAGCTGCTGCTCCCAGCCTCTGCTGTGATTTTTGTTAACACTTTCTTTCCACCTCCCATTGGTTTAGTCCATAGTTCTATCCCATAAGTTGTAAATTGAACAGTGAGGTCACTAGTCTTTGGTCTTCTTTTCTTTTAGTCAATTATAATCAAGTTAATGATGAGCCCTAAAAGTACAAATACATAAAAAGTCCCATTTTTTACATGTTTAAACTGTTTTTTATTATCTGTACTTACAAGGTGTTGAAGGTGGGACTTACTCCTGAATCTTCTTTCTAGTGGTGGAATAAGGTACATATTGTTCTGGAGTGTCTCTCAGTTTGACTTTATGGTTTGTCCAATGAGTTTACAAGCAGTAGATTGTTTATTGTTGGGGGATCATCAGTCATACAGTGAAGCCAACAAGACCATTCTGAGGGCACCATGCGTTACCCACATCCCAGAATGTGTTATTGCCATTCATTTCAACACCATGACTGTTGACTTGCTGCCACCTGAAGCTTCAGGACCCACAGTACTTCATCTTTAGTCCTTTTTTTTTTTTTTCTTTTTTTTTTGGAGAGAGGTCTTACTCTGTCACCCAGGCTGGAGTGCACTGATGCGATCCGGACTCACTGCAGCCTTGAACTCCTGAACTTCTGGGCCCAAGTGATATTCTTGCCTCAGCTTCCCCACTACCTGGGACTAAAGGCGAGTGACACCACCACACCCAGCTAATTTCTTTTTTCTTTCATAGAGACACAGTCTTACTATGATAATCAGGCTGGTTTCAAACTCCTGGCCTCAAGTGATCTTCCTACCTCAGCCTCTAAAAGTTCTGGGATTAGCAGCTAATTTTTGTATTTTTAGTAAAGATGGGGTTTCACCTTGTTAGCCAGGATGGTCTCAATCTCCTGACCTCGTGATACCCCCGCCTCGGCCTCCCAAAGTGCTAGGATTACAGGTGTGAGCCACCACGCCTGGCCAGTGTTTTCACGACATTTCTATTTTCCCTTCATGTAGTACATCTTTGATTACTTTGCCCATTTTTTTCTTTTTTTGTACTGTTCTCTAAGAATCCTCTATAGCTCTTCGGCAGTAATTCTTTCTGCATTTAAATCTTATTTTCTCTCTATCTGCCACTTGCATTTTGTCTCTTATTGTGTCTTTTTTTTTTTTTTTTTTTTTTTTTTTTTGAGACAGAGTCTTGCTCTGTCACCCAGGCTGGAGTGCAGTGGCGCAGTCTCGGCTCATTGCAAGATCCGCCTCCCGGGTTCACGCCATTCTCCTGCCTCAGCCTCCTGAGTAGCTGGGGCTACAGGCGCCCACCACCACGCCCGGCTAGTTTTTTGTATTTTTTAGTAGAGACGGGGTTCACCTTGTTAGCCAGGATGGTCTGGATCTCCTGACCTCGTGATCCACCCGCCTCGGCCTCCCAGAGTGCTGGGATTACAGGCGTGAGCCACCGTGCCCAGCCTTATTGTGTCTTTTATTGGACGGAAAATTTGAATGCTGATATCAGACTTGTTATTCCTTGTCTGTTTTTTATTTTTTGCTTTTTGTTTTTAAGACACGGTCTCTTTTGCCCAATCTGGAATGCAGTGGCACAATTACAGCTCACTGCAACCTCAGCCTTCTGTGTGGGCTCAAGTGATAACTCCCACCTCAGCCTCCCAGAGTGCTAGGATTACAGGCATGACCCCCAATGCTTGACCATATGGTTTTTTTGGTTAAGCATTATTGATCAAAGTCTGTCACACTTATGGCGGCATACTGCATCATTTAAACTTTGACTTTCTGTTGCAGCCGGTATCATTCTGAAATTTAAATACATGCACAGACATATATATACACATATACAAGTATATATATTTAAATTGCCTAGAATGTAGATATATATGTATGTGTGTATTCTGAGGCAAGGGTCTATTTTCATTTTACCTTTAGAAAGAAGGCTGGGCACAGTGGCTTATGCCTGTATTTGCAGCATTTTGGGAGGCCAAGGTGGGATAATTGCTTGAAGTTTTTGTGATTGAGGCTTCAGTGAACCAAGATTACACCACTACACTTCAGCCTGGATGACAGAGCAAGACCCCATCCCACCGAATGAATGAACGAATGAATGAATGGACAACCACTTGTCTTAATATTGTGAAGTCTGGGCCGGGCGCGGTGGCTCAAGCCTGTAGTCCCAGCACTTTGGGAGGCCGAGACGGGCGGATCACGAGGTCAGGAGATCGAGACCATCCTGGCTAACACGGTGAAACCCCGTCTCTAGTAAAAAATACAAAAAACTAGCCGGGCGAGGTGGCGGGCGCCTGTAGTCCCAGCTACTCGGGAGGCTGAGGCAGGAGAATGGCGTGAACCCGGGAGGCGGAGCTTGCAGTGAGCTGAGATCCGGCCACTGCACTCCAGCCTGGACGACAGAGTGAGACTCCGTCTCAAAAAAAAAAAAAAAAAATATTGTGAAGTCTGAGCGGACAAGGGATGGTGACAGGAAGATTGATATGCATGAAGACACATGCAGCCATTTACAGAATGCCCTTCATCCCCTAGCCTTGGAGACTGCTTCATACATGATCCAGTTGTTTTTTGTTTGTTTTTGTTTGTTTGTTTGTTTTTGAGATGGAGTCTCACTCTGTCACCTCACCTCCCTCGTGATCCACCTCCCTCAGCCTCCTAGAGTGCTGGGATTACAGGCGTGAGTCACCGCACCTGGCTGACATGATCCATTTTTTATAACAACCCTGCAGGGCAGTCATTGACAGTTTTTGTTTTGTTTTGTTTTGTTTTGTTTTGTTTTTTGAGATGGAGTCTCACTCTGTCGCCCAGGCTAGAGTGTAGTGGTGCGACCTCAGCTCACTGCAACCTCCGCCTACCAGGTTGAAGCAATTCTTCTGCCTCCGCCTGTAGAGTAGCTGGAACTACAGGCGTGTGCCTCCATGCCTGGCTAATTTTTTTGTATTTTTAGTAGAGACGGTGTTTCACCATGTTGGTCAGGCTGGTCTCGAACTCCTGACCTCAAATGATCCACCTGCCTCGGCTTCCCAAAATGCTGGGATTACAGGCGTGAACCACTGTGCCCCACTAGGTCATTGACAGTTCTAAGACTTAGACCCAGAACTTTTAGGTCACCAAGCCTGTGCTTTGTCCTATCCATGAATGCAGAACTCTGATCACAGAGCTGGGGTGAGAACTGCTGCTTCAGTGCTGTTGTAAGCTCATTGTGAAGTCAGAGCTTTGGAAATGTGTACTGATGGGCAGTGTGTGACAGGGACAAGAATGCAGTTGCTGGGATGGAATTCTAGGGGGAGCAGGGATGCTTGGCCTCTGGTCTCCCACATCTCAAACTAATCCTTTTGGTGATGATTTATCCCCAGGACCCTTCCTCCTGCCCGCTCTCTAGGAAGATGAAAATGCTACATGGCTCTTTTGAAATGTGTTCTTGGTTCCATTCCTTGGCTATCATTTTACCTCTTCCATGTATACATTTGAATTTAAAAGAGAAAACAAGTAAAACATCTTCACACCTAGCCCATCATCATTGTCTGTTTCTCTTACAGATAGAGCTTCATGTACCTAAGCCTGCATTTTTCTTTTTGCAGTTTGGGATATGAGATTGAAAATGACAACTCGGAATATTCCTGAGAGAGAAGTACCCTGTGATGCAGAAATGGAAGGATTCACAAGGGAAGCTCCCTGCTTGTCCATTTTAGGTGATGGTTGGGACTGTGAAAACCAGGAGGGACACTTGAGTCAATCAGCTTTAACTCTGGAGAAACCAGGGACTCAGGAAGCAATTTGTGAATATCCTGGTTTTGGGGAGCATTTGATTGCAAGCTCAGACCTTCCACCATCTCAGAGAGTTCTGGCAACCAACGGTTTCCATGCACATGACTTAAATGTTAGTGGTCTGGATTGTGACCCTGCCTTACCCAGCTGTCCTAAAAGTTATGCAGCTAAGAGAACTGGTGACAGTGATGCCTGTGGAAAAACTGTCAACCATTCCCTGGAAGTTATTCATGGAAGAAATCCAGTGAGAGAGAAGCCCTACAAATATCCTGAAAGTGTTAAGTCTTTTAATCATTTTACCTCTCTTGGTCATCAAAAAATAACGAAAAGAGGCAAGAAACTGTATGAAGGTAAGAATTTTGAGGACATCTTGACCCTGAGCTCATCGCTTAATGAAAACCAGAGAAATCTCCCTGGAGAGAAACAGTATAGATGTACTGAATGTGGCAAATGCTTCAAACGGAACTCTTCTCTTGTTTTGCATCACCGAACTCACACCGGAGAGAAGCCTTATACTTGTAATGAGTGTGGAAAGTCCTTCTCCAAGAACTACAACCTGATTGTGCATCAAAGGATCCACACAGGAGAGAAGCCCTATAAATGTAGTAAGTGTGGGAAAGCTTTCAGTGATGGGTCAGCTCTGACGCAGCACCAGAGAATTCACACAGGCGAGAAACCTTACGAATGCCTGGAATGTGGAAAAACCTTCAACCGAAATTCATCCTTAATTTTGCACCAAAGAACTCATACAGGGGAAAAACCATACAGATGTAACGAGTGCGGAAAACCCTTCACGGACATCTCCCACCTTACAGTGCATCTCAGAATCCACACCGGTGAGAAGCCCTATGAGTGTAGCAAATGTGGAAAAGCTTTCCGGGACGGCTCGTACCTCACCCAGCACGAGAGGACTCACACTGGAGAAAAGCCCTTTGAGTGTGCAGAGTGTGGGAAATCCTTCAACAGAAACTCTCACCTCATTGTGCATCAAAAGATCCATTCTGGGGAGAAACCCTATGAATGTAAAGAATGTGGCAAGACTTTCATCGAGAGTGCATACCTCATCCGGCACCAGAGGATTCATACTGGCGAGAAGCCCTATGGCTGCAACCAGTGTCAGAAACTTTTCAGGAATATCGCTGGCCTCATTAGGCACCAGAGGACTCATACTGGTGAGAAGCCCTATGAGTGTAATCAGTGTGGCAAAGCCTTCAGGGACAGCTCCTGTCTGACCAAGCACCAGAGAATTCACACTAAGGAAACCCCGTATCAGTGTCCAGAATGTGGGAAGTCCTTCAAGCAGAACTCTCACCTGGCAGTACATCAGAGACTCCATAGCAGGGAGGGTCCCAGCCAGTGTCCTCAGTGTGGAAAAACGTTCCGAAAGAGCTCATCCCTTGTTCGACATCAAAGAGCACACCTGGGAGAGCAACCCATGGAAACATAATAGTTTGGGGCCACATGAGTCTTCCAGTTAGCTCTCATGCCTGTGTTTAGGAGGCGTGTCTTACATCTGACTCCTCTCTGGTCAGTAGAAAAGAATCCTTTAAGCTAACCAGTGAATTGATGAATGTGAGACATTGCTGAGCCACACTGTTAAGTCTGCTCATTGGGGAACTCAGGAGACAACTTAGGATGGTAGTAAATGCAGAAAAGTCTTTGGGGATGATTCAGTCTGTACCAGACATGACAGCACACACACTGGAATGAAACGTGCAAACATGGGGGTGACACTTCCTACAGAGAGAGCCTGTGAATGCATTCAGAACATGATTGGAATAAAGAGCCCTGTAGTAGGGAGTTTCCACCTTGTACATAAGCAAACACTGAATCAACTTTTTTTTTTTTTTTTCCAGACGGAGTCTAGCTGTGTCACCCAGGATGAAGTGCAGTGGCACGATCTCCACTCACAGCAACCTCTGCCTCCCAGGTTCAAGCAGTTCTCCTGCCTCAGCCTCCCAAGTGGCTAGGATTACAGGTGCCTGCCACTATGCCTGGCTAATTTTTTGTATATTTAGTAGAGACAGGGTTTCACTATGTTGGCCAGGCTGGTCTTGAACTCCTGACCTCATGATCCGCCCACCTCAGCCTCCCAAAGCACTGGGATTACAGGCGTGAGACACGGTGCCCGGCCTGAATCAACCTTTTTAAGTGTAATCAGAAAGAGAGGCTTTGGCAGGGGCTCTTACTCTGTTTTCTGTATCAACAAAGGTGTACAATGAGAGAGTCCACACAGTGCTGTACCGTACACTGCCACAGAATGTGTGAGATTTTCCTGTTTAAATGTATGTCTGCATTATACTTCTGCAATAATGCTGAGGACTTGTTGCAGAAGGGTAAACGAGGTGAATAAATTACCTGTGAATGAACAATGAAGTCGTTCCTCTTAAGACTGAAACAAGCAGGCCGGGTGTGGTGGCTCATGCCTGTGATCCCAGCACTTTGGGAGGCAGAGGCGGCTGGATCACGAGGTTAGGAGTTGAAGACCAGCCTGGCCAGCATAGTGAAATCCCATCTCTACCAAAAATACAGAAAATTAGCTGGGCATAGTGGTGTGTGCCTGTAATCCCAGCTACTTGGGAAGCTGAGGCAGGAGAATTGCTTGAACCTGGGAGGCGGAGGTTGCAGTGAGCTAAGCGCACCACTACACTCCAGCCTGGGTGACAGAGCGAGACTCCATCTCAAGAGAGAAAAAAAAAGACTGAAACAAGCTTTTGCTAAGATGGAAAGCACTGCTTCCAACAGATGTGGTTTGTTGCTTTAGTTGTCGAAGCAAAAATACTTGTTATGTTTTTGTTATCACCCCACCACTACCTCCATGGTTGTTCATTTAGGATGCTTCTGATTCAGCCACCGTAAACCATTATAAAGGTTTTATTGCTATGTTGAAAATGTTTATAATATGGCAAAAAGGGACATAACATAAAAGAGTTACTATTATTACAGCCATGTAAAGATATGTGCACACATGGATGTGGGTTGAAAGTGGATGATGAGAAATAAAATGTGGTTTTCTTTGGGGACTGGAATTTTGTATCATGTTTTTTCTCTGTTACAGATACTTGTTGGCATAATAATTTGGTAATAAATTAAAAAGTGAAGCCAAAAGGAGGTTAATTTGGGGTTTCTCTGGACCTTTAGTAGTAAGGACTGGATCAGGGCAACAGGGAAGCTGTAAGTGTGGATGGAGGGGCATTGGGCAGTAGTGTCTCTGGAATCGGCATCCCAAAGCCCAGGGCATGAGAATAACTTCCTTCTTTGGGACTTGGGTTATAAGGGGGTGTCAGTGTAGAAGAGAGAGTGAGTCTCAGAGAATGGAGAACAGGAAGCCTGTAGGAAAATTTGGGATGACTTTGGAGTGGCCCTTCTGAGGCAGTGCAGTGCTGGCCGAGTAAAAGCCAGTCAGTGTGGCTGACACAGCCTTGAAGCCCCATGAGGGGATCCCCTTGGGATTTTGCCTCTAGACAATTTCCTCTCCTGGGGGAAGGGACAGGTGTGATGATAGTGAAGATTAGTGATGAGTCAGTCCAGGACTGGTGTCTGCCAGGCCCATTGTATTAGTTGGATCAAGGTTCATGTGTGTGTGACGTGGTGTCTCCATGGTGCTGGTATTCTGAGGTCTGGACCCTCAGGCCAGTCAGTGCTTCAAGCACCCATGCCTCCTTCCATGTGTGTCTTCTCTTTTGTCCGATATCAGCTGTGGCCTCCATGGCACTTGCTGTCTCCTATGAGGCAGCCAACCTTGGTAGGCCTCTGTTAGCTGTGTCATGGGGAGGGTGGGCAGCCAGTCCTGAGA